TGGTTAATTATACTAATTTTATATTTAAATAGGTAATTATAATAAATCCAACTTGATCATATTTATTATTGAATTTGATTTACTAATATTTTTAGATGTTTTACATCTATTGTGTAAGGGAAATTTTACTTCAATTTTCCTTTCTTGTCATATTCTAGCCAGGTATTGGTATCAAGCCTATGTTGGCCTCATAAAATAATTAGGAAGTATACAATCTTTTGAAAATCTCTAGAAGAGTTTGTTTAACATTGGTGTTATTTCTTTCTAAAATATATAGAAGAATTCACTAAGGAATTCTCCTGGCCCTGGAGTTTTCCTTGTGAAAAAGTTTTAAATTATGGACTATAGTTCTTTAATAGATATAAGAGTATTTAGATTTTCTATTCACTATTGTGTTAGTTTTGGTAAATTGGACTTGTAAAGAAATTTGTTCATCTAATATTATTATGCTTTTAATATCTGTAGGATCTTTAGTGAAATCCTTTTGAAAAAATTTTTAAAATCTGTAATTTATGCCTTCACTTTCTCTTTTTATGTATTGATCAGTTTTTCCAGGGGTTTACCAATTTCATTAGCTTTTCCAAAAATAGAAATTTTGATTTTTTACAGTCCTCAATTAACAAAATTACTTTACCTATTTCTGCTTCTTTTTTCTTTTAAGTTTTCCTTTCTAACTTTTTGGGTGTCTTTCAGTTTTTCTGTCGTTCTCTGCAACCTTTTTGTTTGTTCGTTTAACTTCTTGATTTAAGTCTACAAATAACTTATTTCTCAATATCAGAAACTCAATGAATCAATTCCCAATTAAGCATTAAAGAATAATCTGGGCCATAGACACGCATACACATACACATACATACACATACACACTGAGACAGGACTTGAGACCACAGCACTTAGGATCAATTGTCTTAGGATCTCAGGGGTGATTATCTATTAAATATTGTCATAAGACAATATTTAATAGATAATCCAAATATTTTAGGGTGAGAGGTAAATTTATAAAATTTTTATTTTTTTCACTTGATATATGTCAATATTTTTACATAACAATGCAGTAATTTTTACAACACAATTTAAAAAAATTATTATACTTTAAGTTCTGGGATACATGTGTAGAATGTTCAAGTTTGTTACATAGGTATACATGTGTTAACGGTGGTTTGCTACACCCATCAACCCATCATCTAGGTTTTAAGCCCTGTATGCATTAGGTATTTGTCCTAATGCTCTCCCTCCCCTTGCTCTCCACCCCCCTGACCAGCCCTGATGTGTGATGTTCCTCCCTTGTGTCCATGTACAAAACAATTTTTAATGGTTGAATGGCATCCTAGTAGATGACTAAAAGATAATCTATTGGTACGTTCAATAAATAATTCACTATTATTGGACATGTAATTGTTTCTAATTTTACCACTATACATTAGTCTGATATCATTACAAAAACTGATTTGCATATTTATCTTATAGGAATGATGTACATATCATGAAATTACCTTTCAGATTTTTGTTTGTTTGTTGTTGTGGTGGTAGGTTTTTATTTTAGGGATGGAGTCTTGATATGTTGCTTACGCTAAAGTGCAGTGTATATGCACAGGCGTGATAATAGCTAGCACACTATAGCCTCAGACTCATGGGTTCAAGCAATCTTCCCACCTCAGCCTCCCAAGTAGCTAGGACTACAGTATTGTACCACCATGTCCAGCTTAGTTTTTTTTTTTAATTATCATTTTTTAAAATTGTAAAGACAAATTATAACTTGTGAAATAATTAAATCAAGGAAATTAACATATCTATTACCTTAAATGTTTATTTTTTGTAGTGAAAACACGTAAAATTTACTCTTGGCAATTTTGAAATGCACAGTACATTATTCATTATTATTTACTATATTCTCCATGTTGCATGATATATCTCAAAGAAATAAAATTTTTTTTCCCTTTTGTCTAATTGAGGCTTTTTACCCTTTAGCTATCTCCCCATTTCCCTCACCCCTTCAGCCTCTGATTAGCACCATTCTACTCTCCTTCAGATGCTTTCTCAAAAAGGAATTTAGAAATCCACAAGCAATTTTGATGGGATAGCTTGATTATCTTTCTTGGCCAACTGAATACATCTGAATTCTCTGACCTGAGAGCATAGCTATTGGGCTCAACGTTGCTTCCCTAAGAAAATGTGTTAAAGTGTTATCAAATTTAAATGAAAGGTTTAATATGTGTGAAACTCCTTAAGAGATATGTTGATAATAGTATCTCTGAGATCAAAATGTCCACAAGTTTTTAGAAACACCTTTTTACACATTTAACTATAAAACAAGGCAATGTCATAGATGTTTAAAGGAGATATGGTGTTTAGCAAACTGTAGGTGTTCAACTAATGTGGAAATAAATTATATTAAACACAATTCTATGATATCCTAGAGGAGTGAGTGAATAGTTTTGATGGGGAAAGAACCAGAGAACTTTTCATGCAGCATCTGACCCTGAAGCTTTTCTGTTGCAAGAACTCCACAAGGGCAACAGCATGACTGAAGCCAGGAGCAGAGGCTCCCAAGGAAGAGAATCTGCTGGAGCTATGGATTATGTCAAACACAAGCCTTGAGACACGCTGTGGATGTATGAAGGATTCTGTTCAGGCATGGAAACTTCTTGCAGCCTATGTACAGATGTATCTAAAATTTAGTAAGTAATGTTCCTAAAAAATCATGTGAAACTGATTTTTTTTGTGCATTATATACTACATGTTATATATAGAGAAAAAACCTTAATGACTCCTTGTGTTAAAATTAGGAATTAGATTTTTAATATGTCTGTACAAAAATCTAAATGTTTACATAATGGTTTGGCTTAAACTTGCCTACCTCTGCAATATTATGTTATTATGTTCTTCAATGCATTTAACAAGGTTGGTTTTTTTTTTCTTTCTCTTTCTCTTGAATATACTAATTTATATTTTTGAATTTGGGATATTTACTTTGTAGATGATGATGCTACAAAAGACATGAATTATATTCTGGAATTTATAAAAATTAGCACTTAGAAGTAGGGATAAAATGTCATCAGTGGTAATAAAAAAAAACCCACAACAGAAAAGAAAGTCTTTGCTTTTCATACTGTTTACCTCCTCCAACTCATCCCCTCCTGTGGTGGCTGGCAGGCCATTTGGTTTGGAACCTCTTGGTTTCCTGCTTTTCCCTGTTCTCTGGAAAGCATCCAACTTTGCCCCTTCATGGAAAGTCTCTATAGTATTATTCCAAGAGGTATGAAATCATCACTCTGCTACCTGATACCATAAGGTCAGGGCTATTGAAGGGTTAATTAGAGCATATTTATAAAGCACTTCAGAAATTAAAAAGTGTTCTACAAATGCCAATGTTATTAAGATTTTGGCAGAATATATCAAAAAGTGGAAATTTTTATGCTGGCTTAGATTTTACTTCATCTTTAAAAATGAAGATGTCAAGCACTCAAATCTCAATTGGAGTTAACAAATGTTTATTGAACACATATGATTTTCAAAGTTTGTAGGACAAAGATGAGTAAAACTTGTTCTTTCTCCTTAAGGAGTTTATTTGTTTAACAGCTGGATAAACAGATATACAGCTTATTATAATTTAGGGTAAGTTCCTCAGAGAGGCAAAACTGGGTACTGTGGAATATCAGAGTTAGAGGCTATTTCCAACTGGAATTAGAGATTGGGTCATGGAGGAGAGGATATTTGATCCGAGCTTTGGGGGACAGTAAAATTTTAATAGAGCAGGATACTTGGAAAAAGTGCATTTTAAGCAGAGGAAACTGTGAGTTGAAAAGCAGGAAAGACATTTCAGGGAAAACACAAGTAGCTTGATTTTGTGCACCAAAAGCAAAGGTTAAGCTGAGAAGGCAGGAGGGGGTTAGATAAGAGAAGGCTGTTGTCATCAGGCTAAGGAGGCAGCAGAGAACTGCTGAAGGCTTTTGAGAAGGTGAGCTCGTAGCAGGCTGATACACAGGGCTTGACTGGACATAAAAAGTAGGTACTTAATAATTATTCATGGAGTAATCAATGAATTACATATTCTTAGGTACATTTTAATGCTAACAATAGTTTTTTTGTTTCTTTTTTTAAAGATAATTCCTATTTTTCTTCAAGGCTTTTGGCAAAGTTTCTATTCAAACTCAAATTTTGTGTTAAGTATCTCTATCTCTTTCTTGGAGAAATAGCTCTTTTTATCTTATGGTATCCTCCAATTTTGATCCCTTCTAGTTTTGATCTCCTGCTAGCTTCTCTTGGCTCTATCTCCTCCCAATCCCCTTGAAGACTGGGCCACTTTCCCAGTCACTGAAGTGCTGGCATCTCCACTTTGGTCACTTTTCATGCTGATTCTCGGTTCTATTATTTCCCTTCAGAAAATGGAGAGCTAGATGAATCTGTGAGAATCTGTGATTCTCTTCAAATCTTCAATGCTGAGCATGAATCAGTGTAAAGTGAGAAGTACTTGAGGAACAAAAGCAAAGCCCTGAGGGAACACAGAGTAGCAGAGAGATCTTTGAAAGCATGTTTTCCCAAACTAGTTATTAAGCAAGATGATATCACTCTGCCTCAGCTTCTTCATGTGTCAAAGGAGTATAGTAGTATCTGTGGCATGGGATTGTTAACCAAGATTAAATAAGTTAATATTTGACAAAATGTTAGCAAAGTGATTGGTGCACGGTTACCACTCAGTAAAGATTAACTCAAAAAATAAAGACTAGGCTGGGCGCCATGGCTCACGCCTGTAATCCCAGGCCTTTGGGATTCCAAGCAGGCAGATCACTTGAGGCCAGGAGTTTGAGACCAGCCTGGCCAACACGGTGAAACTCCATCTCTACTAAAAATAGAAAAAAAAATTAGCCGGCTATGGTGGCACATGCCTGTAATCCCAGCTACGTAGGAGGCTGAGGCAGGAGAATCATTTGAACTCGGGAGGTGGAGGTTGCAGTCAATGATCGGGCCACTGTACCCCAGCCTAGGTGACAGAGTGAGACTTTGTCTCAAAAAGAAAAAAAAAAAAAGAAGAAAGACTAACATCTCTTAGATACTCTAAAATAATTTAAACATAAAAAATGTTTACTATTTATGCTGTCCCATTCTAGTTCCCTTTGTTTCCTTTTTCCTCCTCTTTGTTTCAGATCCTTCAAGTATTTGTAACCTTGAGAAAATATACTTTAACCTGTTGTGCAGAGCCCCTCTGTTCTCCCAGATATCAGCTGGTGGACAAAAAAGGGACAAAGGGCAGCAGAAGAGATAAACACCTAAATTAAATAATTGCATCCTACAGAAATCTTTCTTGCTCATCTCCAAATATCATTGATTACCTCTTTTAGATGAAGCATTGAACATCTCTGCATATATTTTATCTGATAAGGCTCATGTATTTTACTCAGATCAGTGGACCTCAACCTAGGGTAATTTAGCACCCCAGGGAATATTTGGCAATGTCTGGAGACACGTTTGTCACAGCTGGGAAGTTCCAGTGGTATCTCATGTGCAGAGGACAGAGAAGCTGCTAAACATCCTGCAACTCACAGGATGGCCCTCTCCAACAAGGAATTATCCAACAGCAAGTGTCAATAGTGCTGAGGTAGACAAACTCTGGCTTAGATTGACTCAGTGTATTCCATTAGTTCCAGGTGATAGGGATGTTTTGAGGAGATAGCCCTAGAAGACAAAGAGATGGAAGGGCCAGCTGATGACTGGGCACACCTGAGTAGGGAATTGTGGGCCAGGAGAGGTAGAAGGAAGATCCTGTGATCTAAGGAGAAGTGCTGGCTATCAGAGTCTGAAATAAACTTTCTTTAATTGTCAATTTGGTCAAAGTAATGGCAATGGGATTCAGGAAATCACATGGCAACAGCGCAGGGCTCAGGAAAGAGACTATTTTTGTGTTTATTCTTGTGGGGAGCCTCACCATAGAGATGAATGATTACTTGGAAAAGCTGAGACAGTGCAGGCTCCCCTCTTAGAGGCCTGCTGACCCCCTGGCGCAAACATGAAAATAAAGGAAAATCTTGAGTTCCTTCAAGACAAATTCCAGGCACCTAGCCCTGAGAAGTAAATAAGCAACTTAACAAGCAAGAAGCTAAGCACTGTAGCTTAAAACCATAGCCAAGGTCACAAGATGTCTGGTTTCCTGCAGAAACTATGTATAACATCTTAACATATGTCCCTGAGTTGTTTTTCAGAAACCTGGACCCCCATCAAATGGATTCACTGGCATGTAGACCTCAGATAAGGGGGAACTGAAGACCACTGTTTTTTCTTCTAATTTCTTCCTGAGAGACCTGAAGGAAATCACACCCACTGGCCAGAGCTAAGAATCTTTTCTGCTGATCCCAAATTTTTAGGCACAGCTTTGCCTTTTTAACCAATCACAAATCAGGAAATCTTTGAATCTATCTGTGACCTGTGGGCCTTTACTTTGAGATGTCTCACTTTTAAGTCAAACCAATGTATAACCTCCGTGTACTGATTTATGACATTGCCTGTAACCTTTGCTTGCCTGCTTCTAAAAGCTTTTACTGTGAGCCATTGGGGTGTTTGGAGCTAAGCATTAGCTGCCTGATTCTCCTTGCAGGGAGGCCTGCAATCCCAATGTCAGCATTTGGTTTTGCTATGCAAGGGAGGCAGACCCGAGTTTGATTCACTAACACAGTTGTAAGGTACACAGACGTACTTTGGTCAAAAAATAGGCGGAGACGGATATCCAGGCCTATATGACTCAACAAGTTTGAGACACAGACATACACCTCTACTTGTTACATAGCCTGTTTGTAGAAGTTCATACTTGACTCTGAACCACTTTTGTCTGTAAAAGGAATAATAACTGCCCTACTGACACTGTTCACGGGGCTCAACATGACTCTTGTACAGACACTAATGCCGAGAGGGGAAAAAAAGCCAAAACTGATGGACAGAGGTGAGCCACAACACAAATCACATTGGTGCCGGGAAAGAGGAAGAGTTGAACTATTGACACTGAAGATGAGAGAGCTGGCTGTGCAGCTACAGGTGTGGGGGCCGCAGGCACCGTAGAGTCGGAGCAAACAGCCGAGATACAGGTGGACAGTGTGAAAGAACTAATGGGAGTAAACTACTAATGAGAAAACTACATTTCACCTGCCTATGCTCCCCCCCCGCCGGCGCCCACCACCGAGTGTTCTTTCTACCAATCCACTCACTCCCCTCGGACTTCAACATGGGCTGGATCCGGACTCTGACATTTAGATCTAACAAAGCTAATTGGTTTCCAGTCCTGATTAACTCAGCATGTTTGGGTACATTTTAATAGAGTTAGAACAACGGAAAGAAAAGATGACCTAAAGCCAGAATCAATTAGAATACTTAGGGTAAGATAAGATGTAAGTAGGTAGATGGTTTTGAGAATTATAAGATAAAATCAAAATTTGGTTATAGACAATTGGACGATGAAAAACAGAAATTCCTCCAGCTGAATTAGATTAAATGTTGTGGCAGCCTTAAAATATGTCCAAAATTCTTTGACAGTTTTTTCAAGGGTAGAGACTAATTTTCTTTCCTGAGATTGTGTTGGACTTAGTGACTCATTTATAATGAGCAAGATAAAACAGAACCAATTGTCTGTGATTCCTGAGGTTAGGTCATAAAAGACAGAGGGCTCTGCCTTGTTCTGTTTTTTGGATGAGTTGCCCTGGAGGAAATCACCTGCCAGATGACTTAGTAGCCTTAGGAAGAGGTATGTGTGGCAAGGACCATGGTTGTGGGAATGAGCCAGCTTAGGAGCAGATCCTCGGCCCCAGTCAAGACTTCAGAAGACCTTGAGCCACGGCCACCTGGTAATACACGACTAACACATAAATATACAGGGGTGAGGTGCTTATTAAGAACTACTGCAAACAGCATGGATGAGGTTTGAGTGTCCATTTTAAGGATGGGAGGTCTTATTATCTGTGTTAGAAATAAGTTTTTGATCACAATTGTGTGGTTAAGATATGGATCCTTGAAGGAGACTTCCAGTGTTTCATTCCTTACTTTCTCACTAGTTTTGCTACCCTGGACAATTTGCTCAAGCTCTCAGCCTTCACTTTTCTCATTTTTTAAAACAAAGATACTTAGTAATTATAAAATGCTTATGAAAGTGTCTGGAACATAGGAAGCATGAAGTAAACAGTAGGTGTTATTGCTATTTCTGTATTTATATCACCTTACACTCAGGGATCTAAATTTACAAAACAGTGCCTACATTATCAGAAAGCATGAAGCCTGGTTTGTAATGGGCTTAATGAATGAATTCTCAAATCAAACATTAAGGGTTATCTTCCTCTGGGCCCTCGGCACCCACAACTCAGAGACTGGTCTTGAGGTTAAAGCACTTGGGGCCAATTGTCTCGAGACTACAGTGGTGTTTGCTGTCAGTTTGCTAAAACAACAACCTCAAATGTATTGGTGTGAGAGGTAAATTAATAAAATATTCATATTTTTTGACAGCTTAGCTCTCTCAATATTATTTTCCCCTGAACTCAATGAAATTTTATAGAATTTTAATACCAGATAAATTCTCAAAGAAGGAGATCTGGTCTCAAGTTGTCTACAGTAAACTTTTACCTACTGGTTAATCTTGATGACAATTTTTATGTGAATTTTAAGCATCTAGTACATTGCTAGAACTTCAAATGTAGAAACATGAAATAAAACTTAAATTCACAAAACTTTTCTCAGAACTCCTTTCTGCTCAAATGCGGAACATCAGTTAGGCTCCTTGACATTTTCTGTTTCTGTCACTTGCATGCATGAACTTTCAGAAGAAACATGGGCATAGTTTATTAGACAGTTCCACACTTGGGTTAATTGTGTGTGTTACAAGGTATGAATAAGGCAGAACAGTTTGCCACTTTGGAATATTTTTTCCAAGACTTTTTTTGGCCTAACGTTGAAACAGAAAAATAAATGAGAAATTTTAGAACATTTCCTTGGAGAAATAAATTGTGAGAAAATATATCAAGAGTGTGTCTTTCCTATTAAGATTAAGGAATGGCAAATTTTTATTATGTTTATTAGAAAATAATAAGAATAAAATCAAGGTTTTTTTTTTTTTTTCTTTTTCTTTCTTTTTTTTTTCCCATTTATTTATTTTATTGCATTTTAGGTTTTGGGGTACATGTGAAGAACATGCAAAATTGTTGCATAGTAACACACGTGGCAGTGTGATTTGCTGCCTTCCTCCCCATCACCTACATCTGGCATTTCTCCCCTTGCTATCTCTCCCCAGCTTCCCACCCCCCACCGTCCCTCCCCTATTTCCCCCCAACTGACCCCAGTGTGTAGTGCTCCCCTCCCTGTGTCCACATGTTCTCATTGTTCAACACCTGCCTATGAGTGAGAACATGCGGTGTTTGATCTTCTGCTCTTCTGTCAGTTTGCTGAGAATGATGGTTTCCAGGTTCATCCATGTCCCTACAAAGGACACAAACTCATCGTTTTTGATGGCTGCATAATATTCCATGGTGTATATGTGCCACATTTTCCCTATCCAGTCTATCATCGATGGGCATTTGGGTTGGTTCCAGGTCTTTGCTATTGTAAACAGTGCTGCAATGAACATTCGTGTGCACGTGTCCTTATAGTAGAACGATTTGTAATCCTTTGGATATATACCCAGTAATGGGATTGCTGGGTCAAATGGAATTTCTATGTCCTTGAGGAATCTCCACACTGTCTTCCACAATGGTTGAACTAATTTACACTCCCACCAACAATGTAAAAGTGTTCCTATTTCTGCACATCCTCTCCAGCATCTGTTGTCTCCAGATTTTTTAATGATCGTCATTCTAACTGGCTCGAGATGGTATCTCAATGTAGTTTTGATTTGCATTTCTCTGATGACCAGTGATGATGAGCATTTTTTCATATGTTTGTTGGCCTCAAGTATGTCTTCTTTTGTAAAGTGTCTGTTCATATCCTTTGCCCACTTTTGAATGGGCTTGTTAGTTTTTTTCTTGTAAATCTGTTTTAGTTCTTTGTAAATTTTGGATATCAGCCCTTTGTCAGATGGGTAAACTGCAAAAATTTTTTCCCAATCTGTTGGTTGCCAATTCACTCTAATGATTGTTTCTTTTGCTGTGCAGAAGCTGTGGAGTTTGATTAGGTCCCATTTGTCTATTTTGGCTTTTGTTGTCAATGCTTTTGGTGTTTTAGTCATGAAGTCCTTGCCTACACCTATGTCCTGAATGGTTTTGCCTAGATTTTCTTCTAGGGTTTTTATGGTGTTAGGTCTTATGTTTAAGTGTTTAATCCATCTGGAGTTAATTTTAGTGTAAGGTGTCAGGAAGGGGTCCAGTTTCTGCTTTCTGCACATGGCTAGCCAGCTTTCCCAACACCATTTATTGAACAGGGAATCCTTTCCCCATTGCTTGTTTTTGACTGGTTTGTCAAAGATCAGATGGTTGTAGATATGTTGTGTTGCCTCCGAGACCTCTGTTCTGTTCCATTGGTCTATATCTCTGTTTTGGTACCAGTACCATGCTGTTTTGATTACTGTAGCCTTGTAGTTTAGTTTGAAGTCTGGTAGTGTGATGCCTCCCGCTTTGTTCTTTTTGCTTAGAATTGACTTGGCTATGCGGGCTCTCTTTTGGTTCCATATGAAGTTTAAGGTGGTTTTTTCCAGTTCTGCAAAGAAGGTCATTGGTAGCTTGATGGGGATAGCATTGAATCTGTAAATTACTTTGGGCAGTATGGCCATTTTCACGATATTGATTCTTCCTAACCATGAACATGGAATGTTTCTCCATCTGTTTGTGTCCTCTCTTATTTCGTTGAGCAGTGGCTTGTAGTTCTCCTTGAAGAGGTCCTTTACATTCCTTGTTAGTTGTATTCCTAGGTATTTTATTCTCTTTGTGGCAATTGTGAATGGAAGTTTGTTCTTGATTTGGCTCTCTTTAAGTCTGTTATTGGTGTATATGAATGCATGTGATTTTTGCACATTGATTTTGTATCCTGAGACTTGGCTGAACTTGCCTATCAGTTTCAGGGGGTTTGGGGCTGAGACGATGGGGTCTTCTAGATATACAATCATGTCATCTGCAAATAGAGACAATTTGACTTCCTCCTTTCCTATTTGAATGCCCTTTATTTCTTTTTCTTGCCTGATTGCTCTGGCTAGAACTTCTAATACTATATTGAATAGCAGTGGTGAGAGTGGGCATCCTTGCCTGGTGCCACATTTCAAGGGGATTGCTTCCAGTTTTTGCCCATTCAGTATGATATTGGCTGTTGGTTTGTCATAAATAGCTTTTATTATTTTGAGATACGTTCCATAGATACCTAGCTTATTGAGTGTTTTTAGCATAAAGGGCTGTTGAATTTTGTCAAAGGCCTTCTTTGCATCAATTGAGATAATCATGTGGTTTTTGTCTTTGGTTCTGTTTATGTGGTGAATTACGTTTATAGACTTGCATATGTTGAACCTGCCTTGCATCCCCGGGATGA